CAGCCCTAATACAAAGTCATATTTCTGACCTTTTTAATTGTATGGATGATTTAAGCCTCGTCCTTGACTAAACACATTTACAGGCATATGTGAGGTCATTCCTGAATATTGGGGTAGTCTTGCAAATGGCAAATAAATGAATCTGAATCTGAATGAATCTGAATCTGAACATTGTGCATTAGTGCACACGGGAAGCCTAGTCTTGTCAGACTTTTTGCTGGATTCGTCATGTTTTTGGCACTTTTGGATTCCTCAGCTCACAGCGCCACAAGTCCCACATGTCACATTGTTTACACCCGGGAGCAGCTTCGGACTAAGAGACTCCGCTTTCCTGCACTCTGAGAAGCCGGTGATCCCTGTGGATACCGTACCTCCCCTCCATCATCATGGGAAACGTATGGTCCATCTCCAACAAGACCAATAAGATTGGACGCTCGGATCACTTTTTGGTTTGTCTATCCTCGGAATACACACCTATGGTGAGACGACATCCAGCGCTGAAGTATGTTACAGTGTGGAGTGAAGAGGCTGAGGACAGACTGAGAGACTGTTTTCAGATCACAGACTGGGATATGATCTGCAGCTCTCATGGTGATGACATCGAGAGCCTGACACACTGTATAACAGACTATATTCTCGTCTATGTGGATAACACTGTACCGATTAGGAAGGTATGGTGCTTTTCCAACAACCACCCATGGGTGAGCTCCCGTGGAGTATTAGGAGAGCCAAGAAGGACTATGGGAAAAAGCTGGAGCAGAAGAGAAAACGCCCGGGATGGGTGAAGAGGCTTAAAGAACATCTCCGGTTTTGGACAGAGTGCAAGAGGGACAGCGAATGTAGACCAGCGCTGGGTGGATGAATTTAACCAATATTTCAACCGGTATGATTCTCCCCCCTCTCCATCTGCCCCCCTCCCGCCCCCACCTCTTCACACGTCTCCACCTCTTCACACGTCTCCAGCCCAGTGGACACTGCCTTCAACTGCCCCAAGCCCCCAGCCCCCACCTCTGACAGTACACCCTGCCCCCCCATTCCCCGCTCTCATCACACCAGACCAGGTGAGGAGTGAGCTCAAGCGACTGAACCAGAGGAAATCCGCAGGACCGGACGGGATCAGTCCCAGGCTGCTGAGGACCTGTGCAGACCAGCTCTCCAAGGTCCTCAGGTACATCTACAACCTGAGCCTCAGCCTGGAGAAGGTCCCTGTCCTGTGGAAGACCTCCTATGTTATCCCGGTTCCTAAAATGGCGCACGCCAAGAAACCGGCTCTCCACCGACCAGTCGCACTGGCCTCCCTCCTGATGGAGACCATGGAGCGGCTCCTCCTGCAGCGGACGCTCTCCCACCTGGAGCCCGGCAGGAGCGCTGTGAGGGTCATGTTTTTTGACTTCTCCAGCGCTTTCAACACCATCAGCCCGGCACTGCTGTGGGGGAAGATGGAGGACACGGGAGTGGACAGTCACCTCACTGCATGGACCATCGACTACCTCTTGGACCGACCACAGTACGTGCGGCCGCGCAGCTGCGAGTCTGAGGTGGTAGTCTGCAGTACTGGGGCCCCTCAGGGCACTGTCCTCTCACTGTTTCTCTTCACCATCTACACTTCAGACTTCACACACGACACACACAGCTGTCACCTGCAGAAGTTCTCAGACGACTCCGCCATGGTGGGCTGTGTGTCAGAGGGGAACGAACTGGAATACCGGTCACGGACTTTGTCGACTGGTGTGAGCGCAACCACTTGTGCTTGAATACCAGTTAGACCAAGGAGATTGTAATCGACTTCAGGAGGAAACCACTTACCTACACGCTGCTAAACACCCAGGGGGAGGACATTGAGCTGGTGGCCAGCCTCAAGTACCTGGGTGTTTAAATTAACAATAAACTGGACTGGTCCCATAACACCAACGCCCTGAATAAGAAGGGCCAAAGTCGCCTCCACCTTCTGAGGAGGCTGCGGTCTTTCGGAGTGAGGAGGCCTCTGCTCAGGACTTTTTATGACTAGCCTCTGCCATATACTACACTGCCGTGTGCTGGGCCCCGGTCAGCACAGAGCGGAACAGGAGTAGACTGAACAAGCTGGTCAGGGGGGGCAGCTCCACTCTGGGCTGCTCCCTGGACCCGGTGGAGGAGGTGAGGGACAGAAAGGTGCTAGTCAAAGTCACCTCCATCAAGGACAACACCTCCCAACCACTGCACAGGACTGTAGAGGAGCTGAGAAGCTCCTTCAGTGGAAGAAGGAACGCTACCGCAGGCCCTTTATCCCCACCGCTGTCAGACTGTACAATAAGTCTCTTTAAATCACTTGCACAAGGACTTAAAACCTGCACTACTATTGCCACTGTGTCTTTAATTGCCTTTTTATTGTACATAATATATCCTGCACAAACCATATTTTTTTCCTTTAACATGTTTGCACACTTCAGTCTTTTGCACAAATCTTGAGTGATTCTAACCATTCCAAATGTGACATGTAAATTTCTCTTTATTTTATACGGAGACAATGCAGCAGTAAAACGCTATAGTTGGATGTCGGTTGTTACCCCCCGTTCATATGGAGACTGTGTTCCAGGGGGGTGAAAACATAAGAGTTAAGATCCAGCCTGCAGAGTAGAACAGGTCAGATACGCTGCTCAGGTGTGTATTCTCTGCTGCTGATCCGACCCCCACCTCCCCGCCGCTCCCCGCACGTAAATTTGGACATGCGCAGTAGCCGGAACAAACGTAAACAACAATGGCGGCGGGTACTAACTAGCTACGTGTGCTTCGAGCGCTACACAGAGGAGAATTCTACTTCTTTGTTCGTCCAAACGAGACCACGCAAAACTCTAGTTTCAGTTTCCATTTTCACAGCTGCTGTTAAAATGCAGAATGATGTTGGTGCATTCTACCACGTCTTGCAGAGGAAGTAAGTATTCCGCCTGGGGGGGTTGGGGCTGTGTCGTGTTGTAAAGTTCCTCGGCCCACTACTGGCCTGGCGCTAGAACTACATAGTTTTTGATCCTCGTATGTACGTTCTGTCACCAGGGGGCGCAATGCCCCAACTAGAACTTTAAAACCAATGGTCCAAGGGGAGTGGCTCCATCAAAACAATACACCAGGGGTGAAAAATGAACAATTTATTACAATATATAATGTTTAAAATGCAACTAAAAGGCTACACTAAAAATCCAAAGATGAATCCCTCTAAAAACTGCATGGTCCAATACAGATCCAAGTTGGAGCTTGGGGTGGTGGTCCGGTCCCAGGGCACGTCCCGGAGGCCTATGGAGGGTCAAACAGGGCGGCAGTCAATACAACGGGTTACAGGAGCCTGAGCGTTGCTTGGCTCTCCACAAGACGCTCTCAGTGAAAATAAATAAAACTTAGCTGAGAGGAGGGGGATGGCGAACTCTCCCCCTCCGCTTCTCCACAGCGCGTCCTCTCAGCTTCTCCCACGCTGGTCGCAGTGCCTGGGACAGAGGGCAGACCGGCCGTCAATCTCCCAGGTCAGTGACAGGAATAATATACCCCAGTACTGCGCAGTCAGGCTTTGGCACACAGACACACACAGCACAACAAGGCCACACGTAGCCCTGCCTGCACAGCGAAACAAAACGGGTACTTAGCTGGGAGGAGGGGGTTCGTTACACTCTCCCCCTCCGCGATTCCCACGGTGCGTCCTGCCACTGGCCACTCGATGTCCGTCTCACAGCGCTGCTCTGTCGTGCCCAAGTGCTGCCTCCCGCTTGTCCAGTTCTCCGCACCCTGCTCTGCTGCTCCGCTCTCCACACCTGCTTGTCCCAATCACGCACACCTGTCCCTGATATCCCAATTCCAGTGGGCCGGGTCACAGTCATTCACAAACACGCAACCACTCACACACACGCACGCACACGCACGCTGTCAAGTTGCCCCGTGACACCGTCCCCCTCCGAACTGTTCTAGTCCCTAGAACACACATACAAGGGTCAGTTCAGGTATCTTTGGGGCCGAGCCCCCAAATTGGCTTTCTGGGACCTCCTCGGCTCTGGCGGTGGACAGGTCCCTCCTCAGCGACTTCCCCCGCAGGTAGCAAAAGCCCCCACATTGATGCCGGAGGCTCACTTGAGGGCGCTGTTGTAGCCTCCGGGGCGGTGTAGTAGAGGCATGGCCGGAGATTGTTGCGATGAATCACCCGTTCGGGGCCATCCTTACCCTCCGGGCGAACTTTGTAGACTGGGCGCTCTGGGTGGAGCCTACAAACTATAACAAAGGGTCTTTTCTCCCAGCGATCACTTAGTTTCCCTGCCTGGTGCCTGCGGTGGTCACGCACCAGAACTCGCTCTCCAGGCAAGAGCGGGACTTCTTTGGCCGAACGATCATAAAGCCTCTTACTTTTCTGTCCAGCCTGTTTGAGACAATCAAATGTTCTCTTATACGCATAAGCCAGCTGCTCCTGATGCTTTGCTACCCAGTCTGTAGTGTCCATGGGAACCTGTACTCTCATACCTCCAGACAACAAATCTACTGGAGTCCTCATATGCCGACCAAACATCAAAAAGGCGGGTGCATAGCCTGTCGATGCATGGACAGTGTTATTATAGGCCTGGATTAATCCAGGCAGATACTCTGTCCACCTTTGGTGTTTTTCTACCTCTAGGGTACCCAGGAGATTTAGCACTGTCTGGTTGAGCCGTTCGCAGGCCCCGTTCCCCATTGGGTGGTATGGAGTGGTTCGACTCTTGCAGCACCCATACACCTGACAGAGTTCATGTACCAGCCTAGACTCAAAGTTGGCCCCTTGGTCGGAGTGCAGTACTTCTGGGCAACCGAACGGCTGGATTACATACTTCCAGAGGACACGTGCGGTCGTGAGGGCCGTTTGATCAAGTGTGGGTACTGCCCATGCAAACTTGGTGAACAAATCGGTCATAACAAGAATGTTTTGATACCTATCAACTGGACGGCTCAATGTGAGAAAATCCAAGGCCACAATGTGCATCGGGGCCTCTGCAACAAGATTCACTAAAGGCGCTTTACCTGGGGGTCCGGGCTTGTGTAATACACAACGCGGGCAAGCTTGTAGCCAGGTGTCGATTGTGTCCTCCATTCGGGGCCAGTAAAAACTCCTTCGCAGCAGACTCAGGGATCTCTCTAGCCCTGGGTGTCCCATCTGCTCATGATACAAGGCCCACAAGGTCTGTGCTTGCGATGCTGGAACAACAATCTGGTGAAGAGTCTCTAAAGTTTTTTGAGTCTTGGACAATCCTACATATGACCCCATCCCTCAGTCTTAGTTTTTCCCAGTGTCTTAGCGGGGTCTTGGCTGGTTGCCCTAAGGCTCGTCTTTCTAAGGCACTTGGAAGCATACCTCTCTCGATGTGAGGCTTGATTTTACGCAGATCCGGATCTTCAGCTTGAAGGCTTCTCCATCGCGCCACGTCCCATCCCAAACTGCCACCTATGGTTGGGGTAATGGCGGTCTCTACCACTCCCACAAGCTGGTCCGGGTCACCTAGGGCCTGGTTTGGAGTTTCAGTGGGGAATCTAGATAGAACGTCAGCATTAGTATTTTCTTTTCCTGGGCGGTATCTAATAGAATAGTCAAAGTTAGCCAACTGGGCAGCCCACCTCTGCTCTACAGCCCCCAGCTTTGCAGTTTGTAGGTGTACCAGTGGGTTGTTATCAGTTACTACGGAAAACTTTGCACCCCAAAGGCAGTCCTTGAACTTTTCTACCACTGCCCATTTCATAGCGAGGAGCTCCAGTTTGAACGAACTATAATTGGAGTCATTTCGTTCTGCTGGATGTAGGCTTCTACTAGCATATGCAATTACACGTTCAACCCCATCCTGTTCTTGAGCCAGTACGGCCCCAAGCCCTGTGTTGCTCGCGTCCGTATATAGAGTGAATGGCAGTGTATAATCAGCATAAGCCAGAATAGGGGCCTGCACCAGTTCCCTCTTTAGCTGTTGAAAGGCCACCTCGCATTGTTCATTCCACTCAATAGGAGGGGAATGCCGCCCTCTGGGGCGACTGGTGCCAATCAAAAGTCCGTTAAGGGGCTTAGCAATCTTTGAAAAGTCTTTTATAAAGCGCCTATAATACCCAAAGAAACCAAGAAATGAACGGACCTGCCTAACAGTAGCAGGCGGCTGCCAATCTGCTACGGCTGCGACTTTCTCTGGGTCAGGTGAAACCCCTTGGCCACTGACATGTCCCAGAAATTTTACCTGTTTCTGGAACAGCTGGCACTTCTCGGGATGGAGTTTAAGGCCATAATAGCCCAGAGACCGAAATACTGACTCCAAATGCTGAAGGTGTTCTGTGAAGCTTCTAGAATAGACATCATCAAGGTATACCATTGCCGACTCTGCTAACTGATCACCCAAGCATCGCTGCATCAGTCTTTGAAAGGTTGCAGGTGCATTACATAGCCCAAAGGGCGCATCCTTTCAAATTCAAATAAGCCAAACGGGGTAGTGAAGGCAGTTTTCTCTCTGTCTCCCTCTGCTACCTCCACTTGCCAATAACCACTGGCTAGATCTAGTGTGGAGTACCACTCTGCTCTAGTCAGGCTGGTTAAAGAGTCCTCAATCCTAGGGAGTGGGTGTGCATCTTTGTGTGTTACACTATTCAGCCTACGATAATCTACCCAAAACCGCCACGCTCCATTCTTCTTTTGAACTAGGACAATGGGGGCGGCCCAGGGGCTGCAGCTTTCCCGAATTACCCCCCCGGCTAACATGTCTTTCAAGAAGCTACGCATTTCCTTGTAAATGGTTGGGGGTACTGGCCTATACCTCTCGCGAATAGGATTTGCATCACCTGTTGTTATGGTGTGTTTCACAGCACTCGTCCGCCCATAGTCCTCTTCGTGGGTAGAGAAGACATGCCGCCATCGATTTAGCAGCTCGTCCAACTTCCCCTGTTCCTCCTCCGTCAGTCCATCTCCCCCAGGGACAGGAACAGCAGGGCTTACGTTGGTTACTTCTGGTTTGGGAGCAGCATCGACCAGGCGGACTTCCACGACTCCGGGATCCACCTCCACCAAGGACAGCTCCTTACCGTCCCTAATGCTGTCGGGGTCGATAGCTGTAACTGTCGCCAGCCTCTGGAACCTGCTCAGCTGAACCGCGTAAGGATGAACATTCCTGAGCCGCACAGGAATACGGCCCTTTCCCACAGTCACCAGGGCTCTTGCCACCTCGACCCCTCCGTTTTCCCCAAGGGGTTCTACTAGTGCCTCACATTGCCAATGTTGGGACGATAGAGGAATTTTGGCCCAAAGAGTCATTTCGCTCTGTGCAGGGATAGTAACAGGGGTGCGGCTGGCTAACCTTGCCGTTGCTTTCCATGGGTCGGCAGAAAAGACCGTGCTTATGCGTTGGCAGTCTGCAAACACAGAGTGCCACTCTCGACCCAGCAGCGGTTTTGACTGTTTGGAGGACACCTGGTATTTGTTAAAAAGCTCTTCCCAACAGTCCGCAATTACATTCATTCCAAGGATTGCTTTATCGGCTCCCACACAACTGTCCTTAGCAACTACAATGCCGCGCGCTGGCACCCGGACCCCCTGCACCACAAAGTCTGCCACTAGGTAACCCACCCACGGGATGTTTAGCCCATTAGCAGCCCTCAACGTCAACCAGGGTAGTTCCTTACTACCTCTAAGCTGTCAAGTTGCCCCGTGACATACGCTGTGAAATTTGCATAAGGAGCCTGGTCGTTTCTGTTTATAGCTTGGCGCAACGTCTGTGCAGCGCCTTTGTCTAAACTTGGTCTCATTCTCTCTCCTCCCATGTGACTGCAGTAATAGTTAACTCGGGTAACTTCTTTAAATACTAGGGATGCACCGATTATAACATTTTGGGCCGATACCGATGTTTAACAGAACAACCTGTCTTGGCCTATGTTTTCAGTTTTTCTTCAGCTTGCATGCAATCACTGTACACCTCCTCATGCTTTCTTCTCAAGTGTCCAATGAGATTTGTTGTCTTAACTCATTTAGGCCTAAAACGTCTGGTAATACACACCTGTAAAACCTATGGCTGACTTTAGAGCAGTGTTTTTCAACCACTGTGCCGCGGCACACTAGTGTGCCGTATGATATTGTCTGGTGTGCCGTGAGAAATTCGTCTACTTTGTCTAAAAATAACTGCATTCGCTGTTGACGAGCGGTGACTTGTTTTGAACTGTGGAGTAACCATGTAATACTTTTTCAAATCAGTAGATGGCAGCAGATAGCTAAGTACTTTGAAACTGAAAAATTGGATGCGACCACTGGCTGTAACAGGTCAACATTGTGGCGAGAAAGGTAAAATTGGATGCGACCAACAAATGTGGGAAGGAGCGAGACAAGAGCTTTGTGGCGAGTGAAAAGTGAAAGTGATAGAGACGTTTTTGAAAATGAATTATGCCGTTTCTGAACAGGATTAACATCCTCCGCTCTGCCCCGGGGCAGCTGTGGCCGCGTTGTAGTGGTTTAACTATGAAATGTACAATTTTTGTACAACAGCTCTCGCGAACGCACTTCTGAACTGGGTACCGAGCGCAGACCATAGTCGAGTGGACAGAACCATAGACAAGCGGACCGGACAGAACCAGGGACTCGCGTTCAGGACCTCCCGTGTCCATCATCCAAAACTCCTGAATTTAAAGCTCGGATACCTAAATTTTTCCCATGCACTAACAATGCATGTTCTTTGTGTGAGTTTTTATTTGACTATTTGGGCAGAGAGTGGATTTTCTTAGTTTTTTTCCACACAGTTAGTGCCACTTTATTCCCAAACTCTTGTTAATTGTATTGAGAAATATTAAATAAAGCTTAATGTCAAGGCCTGGACTTAAGCATTTTGATGAGAATAACTGTATATTGTGAATATAGGCTACAGAGTATACTGTATACATTATACGATAAGATATACTTTATATATCACACAGAGTATGTACAGTATATATTTTTTTACATTAGTACTGTATACATTTTTACATTTTCTCCTGGAGGTGTGCCGCAAGATTTTTTCAGTGAAAAAAGTGTGCCTTGGCTCAAAAAAGGTTGAAAAACACTGCTTTAGAGCCACCCCCTAAGAGTGTATTGTTATAAACCTTCAGTAGAATAATTAAACAAATATACAACTTCCACATACAGGAAAGATAATATAAAAACCCAAAATAATGTGAGAATAACAAATATTTCTCAATACAATAAGTTAACAAGAGTTTGGCCATAAAGTGGCACAAACTGTGTTGAAAAAATATAGAAAAATCCACTCTCAGCCCAAAAAGTCAACTGATGACTCACAGGGCTCTTTCTTAAGTATTCAAAATAAAAAGCAAGACGCCTGTTGTGGTTGTTCTGTTCGATTTGTTGACAATATTTTACTTTTGGTACAACAAATATTAATTTCCAATGCTAGGAAAAAAATAGGTACCACAACTTTATTTTAGCTAGTTTAGTTTAGAGGAGAAATGGGGGAGACACATGGACCAATGCTGAGGCTTTATCAAGCTCTGTTTCTTGAAGTGGCACAGTTTATGCAAACACTCACATTATCAACAAGCGGGGAACAGCCTGTCCGCGAGTTTATGGCCACATTACGGCGTTTGCTGAGCTGTCGTCAAAGCGGCTCACAGTCGCTGGATACGGGGACCGGGGTCAAAACGCTGTAGATGTAGAATCCTGTTTGAGTACGTACAGCAAACAACAGCCAGAGCCCCGCGGTCACACATTTCACTGGAACACGTATTGCAAATTGCATAACGCTAATATTTGTCTGACACTTTTAAATATATTCCTCTACCGGTATCTCTTTGCACAGGCATACCATCAGCGAATGTCATTTGTATTTGGTAGTTAACAAGGCAAACATCAGTCGATACCGATGTTCAGACAATGCATCGGGGTATCCCTATTAAATACTAATAGTTTTTAAATTGCTGAACCATGAGATTTATTTATAATGTATATCAGAGAAGTTAAAGCCCACATGAAAGTCAGTTGTTGCTCATTTGTGTCCATCTTGGTGTCTGTGTGTCGGTCTCCACGGCAGCAGCTCAACAAACACAATTCACAGTGTGCACTTATCAGAGGATCAGAGGACTGCAGGCAATGCTCTCTCCTCTGCTCTCTGATCCTCTGCAGCCTTCACCTCACTGCTGTACGCGGCTCCACGCTGCTCCACGCTGCTCCACACGCCTCCACACGCCCCCACGCGCCACCACATGCCTCCACATGCCTCCACATGCTTCCACACGACCCCCACTCACGCAGGTGAGCGGGGGTCACTGTCCAGACCTGTGTGTGAAACATTTTGCTGCAGTGTATTTACACTAACATGTTTTTGCTTGCTGAAGGTTACGTGTTAGGAGCGTATATATCATTTTTTAATAGGGAGATATTTTATTCATATTTCTGCTAGATCTTTTGAACTGAATGTTTTCAACAAAACTGATGTTTTCAGAAAAAGTTTAAACCAGTAGCACATTATTTATTCTTTAATTCACAGACGACTTGGCACTTACATTTTTGATGTGGAAGTAAGATTATTTGAGATTTATATGAGATTAAATTTGTTCACCTGTAAAGTTTAATCTTCGGGAAATAAGGCTATTTGAAACAACCGGATTGCATTCAATTGAAGTAGCATGCCGAAGGCATTAATAAATCATGCTTTTTTCAAATAATTTTTAAACTGATAGCAGTAGTTTAGCCGAGATATGCAAATTTCGACCCAACAATCTTGTTATTGTTATTTCGATGTGATCCAATAATGGGCCCTCCACCGTTTTACTAGTCAGAAAGTCTGTGATGCAGGAATAAAACGAGATTTGACAAGTAAGGCATTGACGTTTTCTGAAATAATAAAGCCACACTTTGATTGAGTAGTACAACTCTTGGTTCTGTCATTTTATGTTTAATTATTGTGTCTTGTCCACTCTGTAGAAATTCCCACAAACAAACCTGAAAGGACCTGGTGGGGCTTTGGGTTGAACCCGGCGCTGATTGGACTAAAGCTAGATCAAAGGCTCTGACGCCTGCAAGAAAACACCAAAACAAGCGGAATTTTGTTCAGATCCAGCAGAATAGCCCCGGCAGCATTAGCCTACCAGACACCCCTTGAAGAAATTCAGACCGGAGTTGAAGCTGATATGACAGACGACATAATCAGCTCAACTCGATGCGCTGGGAACGCATTACACTCAAGATACAATGCCATGGAAAAGGTGAAAAAAACTGAAGAACACCGTAAAATACTTAAAGACCAAACAACCGAGTGGTTCCAACCGTCAAAAGAAAATTATCTGATTACGCAGCGGTGAAACTCATGACGACCCAATTGCTACTCTGCAGTGGAGACAACGGGCCACTCAGAGGACCTGGGGAAAGAGGTCGCTCCCTGTAGATGTTCCCACCCCCCTCCTTTTAAAACCATTGATCGCTGGAAAAAAAAGAATGCTTCTAAAGAAGCAGCTACCTTTACAGTTGGTGGCAGTAATAAACATAGCAAAACAAGGGCAAATCGCCAACCACCTGGTCCTCTACTTTATCTGAATGTTTTGTTGCCTAAGTCGATAGACTGGTGGCGTTACCATGAATGTGAAAAGCCAGATCCCATCAAACAAACCTCTGAGCCTAAGCGGAACACCAGTGCCACAGGGCGGCTGTAAAGTGCAACTGTCCATTGTGTCCCTTGAGCACATACTTGTTGCCTTGCTTCTTTTGGTGGCCCCCAGGGCAACTATGGCGAACGTAGTAGTTATCATCCAAAGTGTATGGAGTGAAAGAATTATGAGTGTAAAAGCTTCTTTTATTTGTCCATAAAACGCTAAAACTGAGGCGTTATTGTTATAATGATAGTAAGAATAAAGCACAGGGACTTACCAAAGGCTGTGCCAATCTGCACTTAAAATACATTACATTTACCAAAATATCTCGCTTTTAACCAGATCCTAGTAACACGCAAAAGTATGGTCCTGAGAGGTACAAGAGGAGCTGCCTAGAGATCCATTTCAACATGGGGTCAGGCCGACTCTTCACAATAATAAGTTAAGTGGGAAGGTAATTATGAACCTAAGAAAATGGTTGAAAAGATAGCAGAAGAGACTACACTGGATATACAGTGATAGTTGAACATTAACAAATTGCAGGTGCGACACCATAGTCCCGGCTTTGAGTCTTTTAAGCAAAAAAACCTGACAAATGTCGCAAACGTCAGGTGCTACTATACCGTATGCTATCAACTTATTTTCCCAAGGGCAATACCTGTTCCTCTGATGGAGGATTAAACAACTCACCACTTTAACACCACTTCTTAATTCAGTCACATTTTATAACAGCCACATATACATGTTTAGTACAAAAGCAGAAACAGAACAATACCAACCACAGATACCAAGAGTTAGCCGGCCTAAAAGAGATAAAGTCAGATGTATTGTGATTTGAATAAAATTTTTTGGTCTTAAACAAATGTTTCCAATGATACATACAAAATGCCATGCTGTTTTAAGAGAAGTCAACCTCACAAAAAACATTTTGCTTGTCCCAATTGTTTCAAATATACCATCACCATAACAAAAAAAAAAAACCTATTGCCGGTGAACATTGCACGATGGCCAGAATAGGTTTGTTCGGGAGGGCCTGGATTTGGCCCCCGGGCCGGCCAGTTGACCCAGTTAAAAGGCCTGCATAACAATTACCTTCTCTGCAACACCTTTCGACCACTGTACATTTTGATAATTTTCTTCCCAGTTTGGCTTTGAAAGTATCCCTTTTACTCATATTAAAATGCCTTCCAAAACAACTTTAATATCTTTCATCCCAAGAGGTACCTTTAATATGCTCCTGGGTGCACCTTTGGGCTCAAAACTGCTTCAAGCAGACTCTCCACACAGTCAATTCTCGATTTTACTGGGGCACTTAAAGTTATGACCGAGTGGTGTGAAGCATAAGAATATGTTGTACCCCTCGGGACACACAAGCCAGCCCTATGAGTTAAGAGCAGACAGTGGAGGTAAATCCCAAACAACTCCTCCACTCCTGTACTTCAAGGATGAACAGCGCTGCATTTAACAGACCCGCTGCATTTTTCAACACGCCAACATTTATGGGGAGAATCCTTCTTTTTCCTGAAAACTACATCTGTAAAGAGTTCGAACAAAACTTTACATTTGCGCTGTAATAGTGTGTGTTATTTAACTGTTTCAACATTGTTTTTCGGCATGATATCTGGAAAAAGACTCAATATCTTTGTAAATCCTTAATTAAAAGATGTTCCTTAATCCCTTCTCAGCCCAAAGCATCAAAAAGACAATTACCCGCTACCAAACGGTTAGTGTGCCGGGTCCTAACACAACATGATGGGTTAAAGTCAACGACCCTTATCTGGGCTTTACAACCGAGAGGCAGAGGTAAAATTGGAGGAACCACCATCAACACCTCCAACTCAGCTCTTTGCCCAAAGCATCTATAGTGACACACAGGGCTCTTTTTTGTACTTTTTTTACTTCATACTTCATCGTCGGAGAGTAAGGCATCGGAGAGCTCTTTGTTCAACAACATGAGATGACAAACATCCTCCGGTACGGCAAGCAAACAAGTTAATCAGACACTGAGGGTCATGGGTGGCAAGTCAAGTGTGACCCTTTTCTGATCTGGGCTATTGCTTTTGCGTAGCCAACAAACCAGGGATGGAGAGGCATGCTGGTCCTGGGAATCCCACCCTTCAGCAGAGAGTCAACACTAGTGTCTGAGGCCTTTACAATGTGAAAAAGATAACACGTTTTATAATAAGATAAAGCAGGTTTGGTCTGATTTGCAACCTGTGACCCAACTCTGTCTGTTGGAAAAGCAAAACACATTTGTAATTCCAGATTGGGTTCCTGCTGTCTAATAAGCAAGTCTCACAAACTCTTTCTTAACGAAAATGTGGGGAAAGTCGAGACACATTATTCCGTCCACTCATCTTCAGGTCAGTGCAATCTAGGCAAGGGTGAAAGTTACCGTAAACTGTTATAGGTGTATTTATCTGTATTAACCCATTTCATAAACAATAGACTTTGAATTGTTTGATTGTTGTATTAGTCATGGGCTAAAAACATCAGCTAACCCCCCTCACATCAGCTGACTGGAGTGGGCAGTAATAGTACCAACGTTTATAATTAATAAATGAACTTGTCCAACTTGTTCGAACTATTGATGTGCATCAAATTTAAACTGAGAAGCCCCTGCGGATATGCAGTAGATCTTCCAACCCCATCCTGTTCCAGATGCAAGAGGAGTTTTGATACTGTGCTGGAGCATGGCTTTAGGGCAGGACAAGCGGTCAGGCCCACAACACTCCTGACCTTGCACAGGCACACATGCATCGGGTTTAAGGGAAAGGCGTGATCATCCCAAGCACACAAGTTCTATGAAAAAGTGTGTGTATAAGTGTGTACATGAATTTAAAATTACTTATGTGTGAATAAATAATGCAATGGCAAACCATCATTTTCTTGAGGTTTCTTCAGAGGTCGTGCTCTTTCTTCTCATTACTCATACACCCACCCTCGAAAGCCCTTGTTTCTGTTGAAATGGCATATCCTTGGCCTGTAAAATGCATTGTATGAATAAAGATGACTTACTTAAAAGCCCTGAATGTTTTTTTGCCATGCCACTCTTCCCGCAGGGCCCGCCTCCTGGGTGCCAGTCCCATAAGCTCATGCGGCGTACTGGCTGAATGATTTGACGGGGCGACTTTAGTGAGCCATCAAAAAGTTATGTAGAAGCCCTCCCAAAAAGGGGTTTTTTTGGGGCCACCGGGGCCTTTCTAAAGTCCAATAATTAGGTGGTTCCCTTTTTTCACACCAATTTTACGCGCAGGCCCCCCCCCCCCCCCCCCCCCCCCCATTTTATTGTTAAAACCCAATTTTATGGTTTTTAAAAAGGCCCCACCCCCTAAAAAAAGTGTTTTGGTATAAGATACCTTTCCGACCGCCCCCGGAACCGTTTATTTGGTACCGGATAAAAAAGGGTTTTTTTTTTGGGAGGACCCGTCACCCGCCTTTGCCAAACCACCCGACCAAAACCGCCCGTTGTTTTTGGGTTTTTTTTTGCCTGCCGCCGGCACAACATAGAATGGCCGCAATCCCACCCCCCGAAATGTTCCTAACTAACGTAAAGGGTCCGCCCGCAAGGAAGCTCCGCTGTGATTGGTCCGTGTGTTGTTTGTGGAAGGAGCACGGA